TCCCTTTTCACAGAATCACAGAATGGTCAGGGTTGGAAGGGACCTCTGGAGATCATCTAGTCCAACCCCCCTGCCAGAGCAGGGTCACCTACAACAGGTTGCACAGGACGGCGTCCAGGCGGGTTTTGAATGTCTCGAGAGTGGGAGACTCCCCCACCTCTCTGGGCAGCCTGTGCCAGTGCTCCACTACCCTCAAAGTAAAGAAGTTCCTTCTCATGTTAAGATGGAACTTCCTATGTTCAAGTTTATGCCCATTACCCCTCGTCCTATCACTGGGCGCCACTGAAAAAAGACTACTCCCATCCCCCTGGCATCCTCCCGTTAAGTATTTGTAAGTATTAATAAGATCCCCCCTCAATCTTCTTTTCTCTAGACTAAAGAGACCCTCAGCCTTTCTCCATAGGAGAGATGTTCCAATCCCCTCATCGTCTTCGTTGCCCTTTGCTGGACCCTCTCCAGCAGATCCCTGTCTTTCTTGAACTGGGGAGCCCAGAACTGGACGCAGTACTCCAGATGCGGCCTCACCAGGGCAGAGCAGAGGGGGAGGATGACCTCCCTTGACCTGCTGGCCACACTCTTCTTGATGGACCCCAGGATGCCATTCGCCCTCTTATACATTTTAGTTCCATAGTATTTAGTGGTAATAAATTACGTAATTTACTTGTGCTTTCTATTAAACAGCATTTTTTAAGCCTGCTGCTGCGATTTCATTGGGTATCCCTAATTCCTTTGTTTTTACAAACACGGAATAATAATTTCCTATAAAGTTATGAATGGCACGAAAAGATGAAGAGATGTTTCTCCCTCCCTCTCCCGCGTTTGAAGGCTCCCAGCCTCCCCTCACGTGGAACTATTGACACTTTTACTGTTGGCCATTTGGAATAAGGTCAGGCCTGATGCAGTCCTCGGCAGAACCCTACGTCTTCGGTCTTCACGGGTGATACCAGTGCTTGACCTCTGCTGGTTCGTAGCTGGTAGAATGCACGCCTCAAACCGGCAGCGTGGTGTCAGTAAGAGTGTCTTGTGATAACAAGTTTCATGTTTTGCCAAAGTCTGCTTATTAGGTCTTTACTATTACTTTATCAGCCAAGTTTGGAGTCTTGTCAAAGAACGAAATAGAGGCGTGTTTGGTTTTTGAGAGACCCAATTTTCATAAAATTCAGCTGTTTGGCGTAAGTGCTGTTTCTGTGTGCCTGGTAAGAGGCGTGCACGTTCTTCAGTTACTTTTCTGAAGGTGGTGCTTGGATGACGAGCTGCTAGTTACAGGCACCATCCTGTGTAATCTCTTTGTTGAACAGCACAATGTAAATGCTGTTTCAGGGTTTCAAGATTCCAGCGTTTTATAAACGCTCTATAAGCATATCCGCGATCTCAGCCAGTTGTTAGGACTCTCGGGTACAAGTTATCCAGTCCTTTTGACTTTTAAAATGGTTATTCCTCCTTGATGATATTAAACGGATTCTTCAGCTGTTGTTGGAGTGAAGTGTGATTCACCACCTTCACGTGATGCTTCACCTTCACATCATGCTTCTGTATAATACGAATCAGAAGTATTCATCGCATCTTTGCGTTTTCTGTGGCGTTGTTGACAATCCGGTCTCAGTTCAAGTTTCAAGTGATGTACACGTAGGGATTACACACTTATACGCCTCCGGATGTATAGCAAGTTATAAAAAGATGCCTGTGCGTGCAGAAACTGGCTTTCTGGAAATAAAGCCCTTAAACCCCCACTCCCGTGAGTGCGTCTGGAGGAACAACGTGGTCTTTCAGCAGGTTCTGAAGCGCAGCAGCTCTGTGCTTTGGCAGTTGAATCCTCTGAGCGTCTGGTTTGCTGCCTCTGTGTCCGCTGCGCCCCTGCCAAGGGCAAGTTGCAGAAATCCTTAGCAGTTGCAAGGCACAGCACCGGGCGGTGTTTCGGGTCTGTCGGACAATGCTCGGGCATCCCTGGCTGCTGCTGAAGAGCAAGCCTGGCCACGTGTGCAAGACTCGTCCTTTCTCCGGAACGGTAAACTTTTACTCGCCGCGAGTTGGAAGATCTCGCAGGATCAAGTGACTCTGTTAAAAGATAGCAGGTTGAGATGGAATTGGTCCTTGTTTGACCGCGTTCCCCAGAGACGTACAGGCAGAAACACCGGTGGGACCGAAGGGCGTAGAGGAGAGGGAGGTATAACCGCTTCCTTGGCTTGTGCTTCGGTGCCATCCACGGGAAATGGGTTTCCCCCTACTCTCCGCTGGGATTTCAGGGAGACGACAACTCTGGGCTGAAGTGGCAGCTTTTCCAATTTTCCCGCTTTTCTCTTTTCCCGGTAGCACTTTTCTACGGAGGGCACGGGAGCTTCTCTGTCTGGGAGGAACTAGGGCGAGCTCTGGATGTGTTGCCCGCTTGAGGAAGGTTTGCCCTTTCTGCGAGGGAAGGAGCCCGCCTCGGCTGAGCCGCCTGTTTCTGGTTGGGGAATATTGCAGATCAGTTGTTACTGCTGAGATGAACTATTGCTGGGCGGCGGGTGGATCCCCGGTTCTGGGGGAAAAAATCCCAGAAGAGAAAAATACCCCGGGCGGTCACTGGCAAGAGCGATGGCCGGGGCCGGGGTGGAAGCCGTGCTGTCCCTGCGCCGCGGGCAGCTCCTCGCTGGGCGTCCAGAGGAGGCGTCGTGGAAGTCGAGGCAGCTCTGAAGCAGCCTTAAGGACAGATGCGCTTTGGGGAAGAAATAAGTTACCGGTTCAGTGCAAAAAGCAGTGCCTGGGCTGTAATGTGAAATATTGAATATAAAACTGGAAGGCCGTGATAGGCTACTGGATCCGGTTCCTTCTTTCTCTGGTTCGTATTCGTGTCAATTATTCTTTTCGTAGACCTCAAACGAACATTCACCCGTTGGGTTTCTTACCACACTGGTTTTATGGGAAAACTAATCTGCTGTGGGAGTTCGAAATCTTTGCAGCCCAGATATATTTATGTTGAATTTGAGCCCGTTTGCTGTTGTTCTGGCAGTGTCTTTAATTAGGTCTGGTTCCTCCCTGGTGTTTGCTTTTTCAGTGTATGTTGATAGATGTAGGGTTACTAACCCTCAATCCAGTTGACTTTTCTGGCAAATTTCCCCATATTTTCAGTCTGCTTTCTACAAATTTGTGAAATCCATGGGTTTTGTCCTTTCAGTTAGTTTCCACAGTCAGCTCGCTGATTGTGAGCTCACTGATTGTGCAGCTGAACGTGACTTTCTGGAACCAGTGACATCGGATATTCCTCATTCACCGTCAAAAATAGCAATCCTGTCCTATTCATTCAGGCACTGAGCAAAACCATCAGCCGTCTTACTTGGAGATACATGGATCCCGTTATTAGAATACTCTCTAGTCCTTGTCTGCAGACCTGCTTTCCCATCATCTTTACAAGTGTGTGTGTTGAATATAAATACAAGTTTTTACAGCGTTACTAAAACCCAGTGAGACTGGAAGAAAAAAAAAGCGCTCTTTGTAGTTAGATCCTAATGGACTTCTTCACACAGGAAGCATTAGTCTGGTCTATAACTGGTTTTAAGGTGCGCTATCAATGGCATGCAACGCTCTCTCGTGACTACCACGTTTCTCTGCCTCACCCGAATAATCCTCGCCTTCCAGTACTTGGATTTTACTCAGTCTGTGCGTCTCTCGCACCAGGGACCGTGTACTTACCGTCTCTCTAGGATCAGGGGTTTCCTTGTGACGATCCCAGCGGCTTTCTGCTACGCTGTTGACTGGGCACCGAAGGACGTGGCACGGAACCTCGTTTTAGTTCTGCATTTCCTGTGGTGGTTTTTTGGTTTCGGTTTAAATTTAGTTTAAACTTAGTTTAGACTTTTGTTTTAAACTTAGTTTAAATAGTTTCGGTTTAAATTTAGTTTAAACTTTTGTTTTAAACTTAGTTTAAACTTAGCAGCATGTGAAGCCCCACAGGCTGTCGCTTCAGCCATCGTAGGAAGTGAAGGAGGGTTTGAAGGGGGGGTTAAGGAAAGGAAGTCTCCCGCTTCTTTTGCTGCCCACATCGTGGCCCGACGTAGGGCAAGCGGACCCGATGTTGAAGCTAGACACCTCTGCAGCAGCCGCTCTCTGTTCTGGACTTTGTTTCCAGAGAAGTGACCTCTGGAGGACAGCAAATTTGGTTCTCTCCAGCAGTCTGTGTACATTTCTGTCACTTACCTCACCAGCTCCTCGGCCCTTGGCCCTGACAGATCCCCGAGAGAGTCCTGTCCACCCCGTTCCTCTCTCTCTGTATCCTACCACGTGCTCCCTGTCTTCCTTCTCACCACTGGGGCCACGGGAAGCTGGTGTCTGAATAGAAGCAGTTCCAGTTCAAGTTTGACCAAAAGTTTTGCCGTGGGAAGTGGGCGTAATTTGGTGTGGAGAGGTGGGAGGTAGGAAGGAGAAGAGACTTGTGGATTGCACGACCACACTCCTGAGCCCGCCTGTGCCGAGGGGAGAAGAGGAAGGAGCCAGCTGGGCAAAGCAGATGGCTTTTCTGGAATCAGGCGTTGATTTCCACCCGCAGAGCAAAGCCCCGTGTCTGTCCAGGGTGTTCTGGGAGAGGTGCCATTCTTGTTACTGCACGCTACGTTGGGGTGACCCTTAATCTCCCGGAGGTTGTATGGAATTGCACCCCGAAGGGAGCCATGTGGTAGAGCCGGGCTGCGATGTGAACGCTGTCCCTGTTTCTTTATCCCACTGCCGCTCAGTTTACTTGTGGTGGACATCTCATTCCGATGTGCTCATTACAGGCAAACTGACTCTTGGTCTGGAGGTATGGTTCAGGACCGGACTGTGAAAAAGGGTTCGTTTGTTTAAATGTACTGTGACTTTGGTGCCTTTGAGGCACGGATACCACAGCTGACACAGGTGTGAGCAGACGCGTGCGGATATATTTACACTCTCGTGCTTATTCTTTAAGTAGTCGTCCCTTGCTCTTCAAGATGCTTTGGGCGTCCTCCCGCCCTGCGCTGACCTGTAACCTGTGTCCGTTCTGCTTCCAGTTGACGCTGACTATCGTGCGGCAGACGGGGGGGCTGGGCATCAGCATCGCAGGGGGCAAGGGCTCCACCCCCTATAAGGGTGACGACGAGGTAAGACCCCGGACTCTGTAATTAGTGAAACACCCGCTTCCAGGGACTAGTTCTCTGTAGCGGGAGGTTGGATGTCCGTCGGTGTCGGCTTTGGGGCTGGGCTTTCAGGGCAGGGTGGGAGCAGCCCTCGCCCCAGCCCGGCGCGGGAGGTCGGTAGGGCTGAGCACGCTCCTGCCCCTGGAGCACAACGCTTCGTTCTTTCCTGCTCCTGACCCCGGAGAGCGGCCACCAGGACAGCTGCTCTTCCCATCTGTGTCCTGATGTAGAGGACTCGCAAGGCAAAGAGCGCGGTGTTGTCTTCCACGCACGTGGTGGCATCGGCTGCCTCATGTTCTCATGCCACTGGAAAAAGATGAAAGCATCGTTCCCTTTTCCCCTTTGTCGCCTGTGGGGTTGCCCTGCAATGGGATTTCTTTCCCCTTTCTACCAGCTCCTGAATGGGGTGATGTGGCTGTCCCGTCTCTACATCCAGGGCAGGGGATTGGCGAGGGATTTCTCTTTTCCCTTGAGCGGAACGGGGTGGAGCGGTCTTGTTACGCTTTAGAGGGTTGAGGAATGGGCTCCACCTCTTCTAACAAGTAGTTTTGTTTCCAGGGCATCTTTATTTCCCGTGTGTCAGAAGAGGGTCCTGCGGCTCGTGCAGGCGTGCGTGTTGGGGACAAGCTTCTGGAGGTAAGAGCCGAGCTACTGTGAAGAAGTCAGTGCCTCTAATGACTTGAGAGCGGAGGGAGGAGTATGGTTTGGTATTTATTTGCATCACATGAGTTTGTAGGACAAATTAAGCATCAGGAGCTGTGCGAGAGCGAAACACGATCCCCCTGGCTCAAAGAGTTAGTTGTCTAATTAACATTACCATTAATCTTTTGCTGCTTTATAAAGGCAGAATTTGCTCCCGCGTTCGCTCTCCCCCAGCGCTGAAGTGTTGTGGGAGCCGGGTGGGAAGAAGTACTCGGCAGTGTGTGCCCCCCATCCCCAAGAGGCTGACCGACCAGCCCGCTCTCCCGCGCGGGGCAGAAGTGGACCTTGTCAGCTAACTTCTTAACCGGGGAGCCAGCCATGTGCTCTACGTGCCTGTCTTCGAGTTATTTAAAAAGGCAGTTAATCATACGGGATTGAGATGCACTTGAGGAAGGACTGATTGCGTTATGGAGGGAGTAGACGTCTCTACGGTGCTGGAGAGAGATGAGAGGAATAAGTGGTCCGTCTGTGGGGCGCCGGCCTGCGCTTGTGCCATCTGGTGTCTCTGGGTATCTCACGCACTCCTACTCACTGCAGCCTACACGTCAGCAGCGGAGGCCCGGGCGCTTGCCTGAGATGTTCAGTCTTTCTCACCACTTCTCTGGCATTGGCCGTGGTAGAGGTCAAATAAAATTCTATATGGTTCTGTAATTAAAGGTTTTTTTAATACTGCTTCATGAGAAAACCTTGATCCTGGAGTTTCAGAAGTTACCTTGTTCACTTTCGCAGTTATCGTAGGATCGTCTTGATAATTCCACGAATTAGAATACGCGCTTGACCTAGCCTCATCTCTTGTATGGTTTAGGGCCTGAAGTGTCACCAAGCGTCCTTGGGTTGCATGGATCGTACTGCATTTTGCTGCAGAATGACTTCCAAAAGGGAGTCAGATCTTGAAAATGTTGAGATAAACGATTATTCCTTTTCCCAACAGTTAAATTCATAACACCCCACTATTTAATGTAAAGTAGATCCCTCTTCAGTTACAGCTTTGGGAAAAGAAATATTTATATTTTTTTTTTCACTTCTGATTCACTTCCCACCGTGCCCATTCATTTATACCTTCTGCAAAAGCGGATGTGCCCTCACAACATAACTCAGATTTGTCATATTCCTTCTGAAAGACCGTATTGTGTCCACAGTAACGTGTGGCTGAGGCACGTCAGGCTTGGGTTCCGTTCTCGTCGGCTATGACTTGTAGGGAACACCTCTTCACCCCTAGAGCAGGGACACAGAGCTTTGCTCGGTGATGAAGGCCACAATGGGAAGAAACCTTAAATGCCCTGAAGTGGAGGAAATAGATTTGAACATCTGGTTTTCTGGCTGAGAGCCAGTTTTCCCTGTAAGTGTGTGTTAATATGACATGAGGTAACTGCTGCGAAAAGAAAATTCTTTGGCTTCGTGGGTTCTTTGCATTTCTTGAGTTTTCTGATGTGCTAGGACTTTTTTTTTTTTTTTTTTTTTTTCCTGAAATCGGGGAAGCGAGAGCGGAGGGAATCGGGTTGCTTCCCCGAGAGCTGCAGAACCTGGTGTCCTCCCTGCAAGTACTGTACTGGTTTTTGCGTGGAGGGGAGGGAGATGGGTGTTTCTGGGTCCGAGGAGGTAGGTGGCCTTGATGGTGAGCAAGAAGCTGTGTGCCCTGCGTTGTACTGAGATTTGTCAGGGGAGGTGGTGCGGGGGGAGGGTTATCTGTCCGGCAGTTTGTTGCCTGCAGGGATGGTACAGGTGATAGGGGCGCTGGAGCTCCCCGTGGGGGTAAAATCTCTCTGAAAAGGCCTTTACTGCGCTCGGCGGGGGCTGCCCTGGCCTGGGACAGGCAGCACGTGCTGCGGGAGCCTCCTGTGCCGTGCCGGGGCAGCGCCGAGGTAAGGGATGTGCCCGGCTCTCTCTGTCCCCAGGTGAACGGCGTGTCCCTGCACTGCGCGGAGCATCACGTGGCGGTGGAAGCTCTGCGTGGATCGGGAAGCTCCGTCTCCATGACGGTTCTGCGGGAGCGGATGGTAGAGCCGGAGAACGCCATCACTGTCACACCGCTGCGCCCTGAGGATGACTACAGCCCTCGTGAGAGGAGAGGTGGTCTACGCTTCCCCGAGCGACCCGAGGGGGCACCTCCCACCGAGAGATACTCCACCTGCCTCATGCGCAACGAGAAGGGCCTGGGCTTCAGCATTGCTGGTGGCAAAGGCTCCACACCCTACCGGGCCGGTGACATGGTCAGTAATGGTTCCCTGGGAAAGAAGGGGCTTGATCCCTGAGTCTCGGCGCTGCCTGTGGGAGCGGCGCGGGGTCTTCCTCGCCCGTGGGCACGCAGCAGCGCGGCATGGCCCTGGGCTGGGGACAGGCGGGCTCTGAGAGCCAGAATCTGCTCTTAAGTCGGGGAAGGAGAGAAGGAGGTGGGACTGGGGCTCACAATCCCTGCCTGTGACATTTAATCTTGCTGCTGTCCTCTTGGCGTATGCTCTGGGCTCTCGGCCACATGAAGGCTTTGCTGCAGCTGGAGGTTTTGCAGGTGGTTCTGGAAGCAGAAGAGGGTTTGTGTGGAGTGAGGAACAAACGGGAAGTTCCCGGGCAGGGGAGGGCTCTGCCGAGGGGAAAGGGCTGAGTCCTGCCTGGTGTCCAGGAGCGATTCTGGAAAGCCAAGCCCTGGTGAGGGGAAGCACAGGCTGCTCTGACCCTTCTGACTGTGTTTCAGGGGATCTTTATCTCACGGATTGCAGAGGGTGGTGCAGCCCATCGGGACGGGATCCTGCACGTAGGAGATCGGGTCATCTCGGTGAGTGCGGGTGTGCAGGGAAGGGGTCTGGTTCAGCTCCCTGCCCTTCCTCGGACAGGGGCTGTTTTTCTGTTACGGAAGCTGGATTTTGGGCATCATTTTTTCACCTCCTGAGCCTCTGGGAGAGTATTTAATCTTGGTGGTTCTGCCCCTGCCTGTGACTGGCGGTGGGTGCAGTTAATGCCTCCCCTTTTCCCAGGCGCTGCCTGCGAGCGGCAGTCCGGGCTGTACTGGGGGGATACGACAGCGCTGCCCTAGCCCGGTGTCCCTCCAGCGCATAGCGGGACCCCCTGGGAGGGCACCGCGCGTGGGGAGGGACGCCCTTTGGGGCGCAGCTGACTGTCTCCCTGCGGCGAGCGAGCGGGGTCGGCGTGGGCTGGAGCGGAGGGATGCTGCCTGGGGTGGTGTGGGGCTGGGCAGGGTGCGCCGCAGTGCTTCCCCCTGCTTTCTTTGAAACTCCGGCCCCGGTTTCCCCCTCCTGTCTGTGCCAGTGGTACGGATCTCACTGCTGCCTCTAACCTCAAGTCTCTCTGCCTAACGTGTCGGTCGCTCCCCCTCCTGCGGGGAGAGTCTGCTGAGTCTCCTGACCCTCTTCCCAAGCTCGCGTGCTGCCTCCGAGTGAAAGCTCCTCCATCCTGGTGCTGGTGGTGGGTTTCTGATCCAGCTGTTGTGGTAAGAGCACGTGTTACCACAGAGCTGGCGTGAGTAAACACTGATACAGCCTTGTCAGTGCTGGCTTCTGTCTGCTCTATCCCTAGGCTGGGGGCTGTGTTGTATTTGCTCTGGCGCAAAATTTTAGTGGAGCTCTGGCCCAGGTCTGACATTCGTATCTCGGCAGGAGACTTGAACTGGTACAGCATCTCTCCCTCCTTGCTAGTGCTCCCCCCTCCTCCCAAATTCAAGCCCTGACCCTGATTGTTGCCAGGTAGCCTGAATTGGTTTGGGTTTGCTCACCTTTTGATGCTCCGCTGGTACAGAGACGTGACTGAGAGGCGTAATTGCAGGCACGCAGCCTGTCACGGGGTGTTGAGTTGCTCTACCTGTGGCAAGGAGGAAACACAAGATCTCGGAGTGGAGTCCAAAGTCAAACCCATCTCCACCCCCATTAGCAGCTCTATTTATATCTGTGGGCAGCTTCCTAGGAAAAGCAGATCTGATTCCCTAGCGATGGCTTGCAGTGTCTTCAGACTGCAGTGTGTGGGCTCAGGGCTTACAGAACCCAGGGCCTGTGGTAGATTTTAACGCGGATGAAGGCGTTGCTGTCGTTAGTCCTCGGACGCACCCCGCTGCAGCGACGAGTGCAGTGTTACTGCGTCAGCAG